GGCATACCCGGTTTTCATGGCCAAGGTGCCAGAGGGTAAGGGCTTTGTCGATAGCGCCATCGGGGGTATGATCGTCCTGCGGTTTGATGACATCTTTGCTATGTTTAACCTTCATCCGCTGTACTACACCTTCGTTCGGCTATTTTCACTGAGTATGGAGATGTGGATCATTAGATACAAGACCACGGACATCGTGATAGTCGACCCCTTCTACATGTGTGCCAAGATCTTGGGCAGCGCTGGGGACCGGCAAGTCGCGAGTTCATACCTCGAAAGCGTCATTCTGGCAAACCCAGATAAGGATAACTTCCTTGTGCCTTACTTTCCCGAGTAAGTCATCCCCTCACCGCCCCGTAACATATGATTTCTTAGATTTCGATCGTTCTTTTTTTTCTAACATTCTGTGTTTTGTGCAGTGACACACATTGCACACTCATCCTCTTAAGCCCAAAATATTCCATGGCCATGTATTTCGACTCGGACCGTCAGTCGAAGAAAGACTACACAAATATCAAGAAAGTTCTTGATGATGTTCTCCCCGGCTACGCCAGATCTGGAGGCACCTTCAGCAGGCCAATTCGTAGGTACGGCAAGCATGTGTTCACCCACAAAATGATGTTCCCCTGCGTCAAGCAGCCGCCTGGCGGTCAGAAGGATGCCTACTATGCCCTCCATCGCATGTGGGCGATCGTACGGGACCATAATCACCTTCTGCTACCAAATAATCTCAAAGATTGGGCTGCAAGCTTGTCGGCAATCCAGGACGCGGACATCAGACAAGAATGCTTTCGCATCCAATCGGAGTTTGCGGAAATCATGCATCAAGATGTCCTTCAACCTCGGGGCAGTTTTACCTCAGATATCAACCGTCCAACAGTGAGATAGAAACAACGCTACAAATGAAGGCTGACAACGCCCGCGATTTCATGACCATCACGACAAACGGCAGCTTCATCCATGCTCTGGTCCCTGAGTCGAATCGAAAGTAGTGATGCTATGTGTAGTTCTGAAATATCGATTAGCTCATGTTGTAATTAAACTTTAATGAACTTGTATGTCTCTTTGGTTTGGATAGTCGCTCAACTTATATGTAATTGATGCTATTTATTAGTAGGACCATGAATCGTGCTATTAATGTCTTGCTTTTCTCTTCCGATCCTTTTGTTGCATACTTATATATTTCTTATGTATTGTTTGTGAATTGCTACCAACGTTTTGTTTGGCTAGTGCATAGAGATGCCATCGTATGTTGTGTACAAGGGTAAGGTTCCCGGAGTCTACGACGACTGTGAGGAGTGTCGGAGACAGGTTCACCGTTTCAACGGTAATAGTTACAAAGGGTACACCACTAGGGCGGAGGCGGAAGCTAGATACGCGCGCTATCTAGTGGGAGAGAGGAGGGAGCAGAGGAGGAACCGGATGAAGACCAGTTTCATCGCGATGATGCTAATCGTGATGACCGCAACTCTCTTCTATGTGATGGTAGTTTAGATGATCGATCTCGACTTGTAATGTGAAGACAAACTCGCTACTCGTGGTCTCGAGACTTGTAATGTTCTAACTTTGTTCGGTATTTTGAATTCGGAGACTAGCTAATATGATGAATTGTATTCGGAGACTAATCTTCTATTGTATTCGATAAATCTGCTGTTGCTGTGTGGTGTTGTCTATATTTTGTGCAGTAATATATTTTGTAACCTCTGCAAATATCAGAAAAGAAAAAAATTCTAATATTCATACTAGTGGCGCACCATACATCACATTAGTGGCGCACTACTGTAACAATACTAGTGGCGCATTGTCTGTTAGTGCGCCATTAGTGACCCAGAGCAGAAGGTAAATATGGCCCCCTGGGAGGCATACTAATGGCGCACCATGGGACATACTAATGGCGCACTGCCTGGTGCGCCACTACTGTCTGATATACTAATGGCGCACCAGGGGTGCACCATTAATATTAGTTACTAATGGCATGATGATAGTGGCGCACCTGTAGTGCGCCATTAATGGCCAAAACAGGTGCGCCACTAACAGGCCTTTTCCTAGTAGTGGAGGGGTTACCGGAACCCCCCGGGGGCTAATGGGCCTTGATGGGCCTAGTGGAGAGAGAGAGGGGGGCCGGCCAGGGCAGGCCGCGCGCCCCCTCCCCTTGAGTCCGAATAGGACAAGGAAGGGGGGCGCCCCCTTGCCTTTCCCCTCTCCCACTCCTTCCTTCCCCCTCCTAGTGGGACTAGGAAAGGGGAGTCCTACTCCCACTAGGAGGAGACTCCTCCTCTTGGCGCGCCCTCCTAGGGCCAGCCGGCCTCCCCCTTGCTCCTCTATATACTTGGGCAGGGGGCACCCTAGGAACACACTAATTGATCATTGATCTTTTAGCCGTGTGCAGTGCCCCCCTCCACCAGAATCCACCTTTGTCATATCGTAGAGGTGCTTAGGCGAAGCCCTACGTCGGTAGCTTCATCAACACCGTCATCACACCGTCGTGCTGACGGAACTCTCCCTCGAAGCTCTACTGGATCGTGAGTTCGTGGGACATCACCGAGCTAAACGTGTGCAGATCGCAGAGGTGCCGTACTTTCGGTACTAGGATCGGTCGATCGTGAAGACGTACGACTACATCAACCGCGTTGTCATAACGCTTCCGCTTACAGTCTATGAGGGTACATGGACAACACTCTTCCTCTCTCGTTGCTATGCATCACCATGATCTTGCGTGTGCGTAGGAATTTTTTTGAAATTACTACGTTCCCCGACATGTACAACCCCACTCATTATTACGTGAGAGTGTCACGAGCGGAGACCTTCACAGGCATTGGGCCTTGCTTCATGGGGGAGAATTTCTGGAGGTGCTGGATGTTCCAGGCGTTCTGGATGGGATCACGTCCTGTGTCTCCAGGCGCGCGGCGCCAGGCCTGGAGACAAGGGCAATCCTAAATGGTTCCTCCCACATGGGTGAGAGCTTGTGCAACCCTTCCCTGGAGAGCACATGCCTCAGGATGATATCACCCACCTCGAGTGTCCGGGAGTAGACGCTGCGATAGTGGTGCCGTCGCAGCGCCTGCTGGTACCTTGCCGCCCGGAGCGAGGCTTCACGGCGGCGTTCCTCCCCTAGCACAAGGTCCATCCCTCGCATGTCGTCCTGCTACGTCTCATCAAATGCCAGGACCCGTGCGGAGCGATGCCTGACCTCGTGTGGGAGAACCACTTCTACTCCGTAGACGAGGAAGAATGGGGTCTCGCCTGTCGTCTTGGTGGCGGTGGTGCGGATGGACCACAACACGGACTGGAGCTTGTCGTCCCAGCCTCTGCCGTAGGCCTCGAGCTTCTTCTTTAAGGTCCTGGTCTTGAGGCCTCTCAAGACCTCTGTGTTGGCGCGCTTGACTTGGCCGTTGCTCCTGGGTTGTGCTTCTGAAGCGTAGCAAATCTGCGTTCCAAGGTTAGCACAATATGTCTTGAAGAGATTGCTAATTAACTACGTACTGTTATCAGTGATGATGCGGTTAGGGGTCCCAAACCGGCTCACGAGGCCCTTGATGAACTTAACTGCCGACCCAGCTGGGATGGTGCGGACGGCTTCCACCTCCGCCCATTTGGTGAACTTGTCGATGGCGACGTAGAGGCAACGGTAGCCTCCTGGCGCTCGAGGGAATGGACCCAGGATATCCAGCCCCCAGACCGCGAACGGCCATGAGAGTGGGATGGTCTGGAGGCCCTGAGCCGGCTGGTGGATTTGCTTGGCATGGAACTGGCAAGCCTCGCAGGATTTCACCAGCTTGGTTGCTTCGCTGAGTGTCGTGGGCCAGTAGAATCCGCCGCGGAATGCCTTGCCAACCAAGGTGCGCGACGACGAGTGATGCCCGCAGTCCCTGCTGTGTATGTCAACTAGCTGCTCGCCCCCTGCTTCCTGGAAATGCATCACAAAGAAACATTGTTGGGTCGTTTCCTGTACAACTCATCATCCTGGATGCAATACGCTGTAGCTTGCCGGGCCACGCGCTCCGCGTCCTCCTCTTTCTCTGGCAGTGTCCCCCGCAGTAGGTACGCCTTGAATTCTTCAGTCCAGCACCCCTCCTGAGGCTCAAGCGCAAGGAGCAAGCACGCTCCTGAGGTCAGCCGCAGGCGGGAGCTCCTGAGGTTGCTAGTGGTGGGAGCTCCTCCCGAGGTGGCATAGGCTCTGCAGCCGGAGGGGCCGCTGAAGGCTTAAAGAGTCGCTCCTCGAAGACGCCAAGCTCCTGGAGCTGTCGCCTTGATGCCCTCTTGGCGATATCGTCCGCTTCCATGTTTGTGCCGCGCGGCACATGCTTAGGTCCTCGCAAATGGAGACAGATTCTCAGTTGCTGGCAGGATCCATGACTAGCATTGGGCAGGACCGATCCAATCACGCCATACTGCGGGTAGACTTGAAAGTTCATAATCATAAGAGGTTGTGGTTCTCCAAATGTGACATTCAAGTCTATAGTACAAGGATGAAGAACCGGATGAAAGGTTGCTGTCGTTCAAACGGGCGAAATGCCCAACATATCCACATAAAAGTTGTTTTTTGACCCGATTCTAAAAAACCAAAAACCAAAAGAAAAGGGTGGTTTCTGACCGTAAATTAATTACATTATCAAAGATTGATCTGATTTGACTAGCCAGATGGAAACCATTACTACCTGATCCAATTTGACTGGCCAGATTCATCTGTTTTTCCTTTTCTTTATTGGGTTTTGGGTTTTTTGAGTGCAACAATAGCAAATGAGCTGTGCCTGACATTTCGTTTTCATTCAATTTGGAAACAATCGCTCCAAGGACTGTCTCATTCCATGAATACCCTCCCAGTTAATAGAATGTTCCGAAGATATCCGGGTCCAAATAAATGATCCATGAAAGCGGTTCAAGTACGGAGAGTATAGGAAAACAAAGAAGTTTCATTTAAATTATTCCAGTAACAAAAACAATTCTTAATGCTCCCAAGTGAATCTTTATTTCCAAATTTCATTCTTGGTCATTTTCCTACTCTACAAACGTTTGGAGCAACAACATGCGCCATTACGGCAGGTGCCACTTCCCTTGCCATCTTGCTTGCAGTAGTGATCACACGCGTTAACATTTGGACAAGGGGAAGGATCATATGGTTCCTGGTATCCACTAGAGATAATTGCATCTATAGTCCTAGTAGTCGCTGGCGACGTCCAACTTGGTCCTGAAACTTGCGTATTGCTTCAATACAGTCCCGATACATGAAAATACGTGATTAATACGGTCCCTAAGGTTGAAACAACAGTCCTGACTCTACACATTGCATACGTATCTCGTATTTGCGTAGGTGACACGGGCCAGCTCAGGCGACGTTTGTAGAAGGCCTATATGTCAATGGGCCGAGAAAAAAACAAAATATATGAAAAAAGCGGGCTGCAGGGATTTGGACCTGCGAACTGCAGCAGGTTGGTACGCGAGCAAACCACCAGAACAACCATGTGATCCTGCATGTATGTGGATGCACAATATATTATATATATCACTTTGTCTTTTAAAAAAATCGTGAATTTATAAAATATTCATGAGTGTTTTTTTAAACGTTCATCGATTCAAAAAAAAATTCAAGATTCAAAAATAAAGGTTCGTGTCTACAAAACAATGTCCACGAATTTATAAAAAAATATATTCAAAACAACGTATGGAAAGGTAAAAAAACAATCTTTTTAAAATATTCACTGATTCAAAAAAATATTCATGAATTCAAAAAATGTTCGTCACAAACAAAAACTGTTTTTGAATAAAAAAATGTGTTCCCAAATTTCAAGAAAGTTCGCCTACGCATAAATTCTTGTTGACGAGTTCTAAAATAATGTACGCAATTTCAAAAAATGTTAACGAATACAAAACATATTCACAAATTTGTAAAAAAATATATGATTTGAAAAATAATCGCATTTTCAAAAATTCTGTACGTATTGGGTGCAGGGGAGTACGCATGGTATTCTTTGGTAAACAAAAGGACTTTTAGTGCCTGAAAAAAAATCCAAAATTGTATGTATATGCATGTATAGTGGCGCAATATCACTGTGCAATATTTCATCAATAAATGTGCTTGTATGTGAGAGATACAAAGAACATAAATGCATGAAAAAGGACTTGTTGAAGAAAAATTCATCAAAAATGATAACATTCTTTTGAATTTTGTATCATTTTTTGAAAAGGGGGATTTTTTTGTATTGCTGAACAATAATTTATAACCAGAAACAATTTGAAAATAATAAGAAAAACAATTGCAAATGAAAACATTTTTTAAAACTTGTAATATTTTTTATACCGTGACCAAAATTTGAAACTTCAAACTATTTTCAAAAAATGTGATCTGTTAAAAATTTCTGAACTAGTTTCGTAAGCGCTAATAAATGTTGAATACTTTAAACATTATTTTAAAAATTAAAATAAACAGACAAGGAAGAAACGAAAAAATAAACAGAAAAAACGAAAAAGAAGATAAATTATGGTTCGAAACCATGTTCATCTTATTAGTAGCAAATACTACTGCTTTTCGCGAAAAACAATACTACTGCCAGCTTAATTCGCTAACACGCTTTTTTTTGAGGGAATAATTCGCTAGCACGCGCGTCCAAAAAAAAATGTCTGTGGCGGAATGGACAATGTAGTTTATATAAAAGAATGTCCAACTAAATTCTTCGGAAGAGGGCCCGTAATGTGGTGGCTTGTACTTAAACTCAAATTCTATGAAAACCTTGTACTATGCAAACACAGGCAAAACAGCTACTGATCGACATCTTCTATGTCATTACTACTACCTTCCTGATATTTAATTACTACTACCTCTATGAAGAAATTTTAAATCACTATAACCACAAATTCCTATATACTACTCTCTTCATCTCAAAATAAGTGTCTAGTAGTTCATCCCAAAATAAGCGTCTCGTAGTTGATAAGCTCTATTAAATATAACTTTACCTATGTTCCTTCCTGATGCATCACACGACAAAAAAGTGGTTGAAACCATCAAAAGTGCCATCAAGCACAGAACACTTGTGTTCATCCGGATTAGAGCCATAACGAAATTGTTTACTCTTTTCTTCCCCTAAGTCCTTTTGGTTGCGGTTGTTGTAGACTTGCTACCTAGCAGGTTCCTTCTGCTGTTTATATAGAGGCACGGGCGATTCTTGGAGTATCAATTTTTGCCATTTTATTTATTACTGCTTTGGTGTGTTTCCTTCCTACAATTCAGCTTAATCAATTAGGATCCTCAAATAATAAGCACATCATGGAATATCCTGTTGGTATGGATTGACCGACTACAAAAATATCCACAAGGAATTTATTAGCATTCCATAACACAACTATGAAATTCATTACCTCCTAAAAATAACCACGCAATATTAATTAGTTTTTCATAACAACATTATGACATTTATTGGCTCCCAATATTATTTACAGACGAAATTGATTACTAATACTCCATACCAAGATTATGGCATTTATTTGCTTCAAAATTACATAGGAAATTAATAGTATTCCGTAACAAGATACACCGTGTATAAAAAAATGTGTCGGTCCGAATAAAAAAATGCACTAATCGTCAACCCATGCATTTGCACGGGCTGGGATGCTAATTTTGAGAGTTTCTGACACTAGTGGAGTGTCAAACACGCTCTTATATTACAGCACGAAGGGAGTATTTTTCTATAATAGTATAAGAGCATTTTTTACACTAGTATAAGAGCGTTTTGACATTAGTGTAGTGTCATAATATAAGAATGTTTTTTGACATTAGTGTAGTGTCAAAGACACTCTTATATTATGGGATGAAGGGAATATGTTTCTATCGGTCCGAACAAACAAATGCAACCACCGAACAAACAAATGCAACCACATAATATTATGAGAACACGTCTTAGGCCAACTCCCCCAAATGAACATCCATTTTGTTCGGATTTCGTTGATACGTCTCCAACGTATCTACTTTTCCTAACCATTTTTCTCTTATTTTGGACTCTAATTTGCATAATTTGAATAAAACTAACCCCGGACTGACGCTGTTTTCAGCAGAACTATCATGATGTTGTTTTTGTGCAGAAATAAAAGTTCTCGGAATGGAACGAAACTTTGTGAGGAATTTTTATACAACAAAAGAGAATTTCTGGAGCCAAGACGTGCCAGAGAGGGCACCTCGGTGGGCACAATCCATCAGGGTGCGCCTCCCTCACCAGGCGCACCCAGGTGGGTTGTCCCCACCTAGTGACCCCACAGACCCTGAAATCGACGCTATAAAATCCTATTTTTTCAGAAAAAAATCAGGGAGAAAGAATTATCATGATCCATGAGATGGAGCTGCCGTCACCTCATGTTCTTCATCGGGAGGCCGGATCTGGAGTCCGTTTGGGGCTCCGGAGAGGGGGGGGGTCTTTGTTCTTTATCATCATCAACCCTTCTCCATCGCCAATTCCATGATGCTCCCCACCGGGAGTGAGTAATTCATTCATAGGCTCGCTAGTCTGTGAGGAGTTGGATGAGATTCATCACGTAATCGAGTTAGTTTTGTTAGGGCTTGATCCCTAGTATCCACTGTGTTCTAAGATTGATGTTGCTATGACTTTGCTATGCTTAATGCTTGTCACTTTGGACCCCGCTGCCACGGGAGGGTAGGGCAAAAGATGGCATGCAAGTTCTTTCCATAAGCACGTATGACTATTCCGGCGCTTCGTTCTCCTCCGGTGGTCATTTCTACCTTTCTTTCGTGTGTGGGGATTAAACATTTCCGGATTGGACCGAGACTTGCCAAGCGGCCTTGGTTTACTACCGGTAGACCGCCTGTCAAGTTTCGTACCATTTGGACTTCGTTTGATGCTCCAACGGTTAACCGAGGGACCGAAAAGGCCTCGTGTGTTGCAGCCCAACACCCCTCCAAGTTGGTCCAAAACCCACCAAAACCCTCTCCATCATCTAAAGCGTTCGATCACGATCGCGTGGCCGAAAACCGCACCTCATTTGGACTCTCCAAGCTCTCTCCACCTCTATTTAAAGGCCCCTCCTCGAAAATCTCGGATCCCCTCCTCGAAACCCTAAAAAATATCTCCTCCGCCGCTGCCGGACACGTCCGGACGGAGCGGACGTGTCCGCCCACTGCCGCCGACCAATCTGCGCGCGCCACGTGTCCTGGGCGGCGCCCACTTCGCCGCCGACCGCGAGGGCCCGCCAGGCCCGAGGCCGGCCCCTGCGGCCCATCCGCCGCGCGCCGCCAGGTCTCCTCGCCCGCGCCTTCTTCCCGCGGCCGTGCCCGCTCTCGCCGGCCGGCGCCGCCGCGCCACCGTGGCCGTCTTCAACGCCGGCGGCCGCCGCCGCCCCGCTCCGCCACGCTCCTCACCGGACGCCGCCCTCCGGCCGCCCCTCGTCGCCCGTGGCCACCTCCACCGCGCCCGGGGCCGGCGAGCCTCTCCTCCGCCTCCCCGTCAACCTCCGGCGAGCTTCATCTCCGTCGGTGAACAGTAACTCCGGGGGCTGCTTCAAAATCTGTGCCAAATCCAGATCTGGAAATTGGGACGGTTGACTTTTGCCCCGAAACCCTAACTTTTTGGCTACGTTCATCGCATCGTAACTCTGCATCCGTAGCTCCGTTTTGGGCATATAGCATATCAAAATGTTCAGCTCAGAGAGTACATCATTTCATCTCATTGCATCATTTTCATTTGAGTTCATCTTGATGCCCGAAATTCTGTTAGAGAGTGCTACTTGAGATAATTATCAGATCTGCTGCTCCATTTAGATATTTGTCATTTTTGCCATGATTATTGTGTGCATGATATGCATGAGCTCTACATATGTTTTGTTAAGGGTTTTTCCATCTTTCCAGAGGTGCAACCCATGTATTTTTGTGATGTATGTGGTGACTAGCACAAGCTTGCAAAGTGAGGCACTTGGTAATGCTGATTTCAGGGACTTAGCATTTCCACTAAGTCCTTGATCTGTTTATCTCATATGGCCATATGTTCATGTTGTTTCCTAGTGATCCGTGCCTCTTTTGAGGATGATCAGCAATGATGATTTGTTAATCTTGTAGTGCTCTATCCAGCCATGTCTTTGTTTGCAATTATGGAGCACCCTAGCTTGAGTCAATCGAGCTGTACTTTTGCTATTTCGTGAATCTGGGCAGATTGTCTACTTGTTAGCAATTTTGCCGAGGATGTTGTAGTTGATCCGTGCATGCTATGTTATTGTTCTTGCCATGTCTAGCTTGAATTTTGTGTATTCTTGATGGGTGTATGCTTAGTTTGTCATGACTTGCTCTGTAGTGAGTGCATCGAGCTCGTAAACATGCCTACTTGATATCTGTTTCAGCATGCTCCAGTTTTCACTAAGTCTGTGATCTGATTATGTTTTTGCCATGTTCACATGCTTGCAATTGTATTTTCTGATCCCTTTTGGCTCAAGGTCACTAAGGGACTTTTGTTAAGCTCTTTGAGTAGCTCCATGTCGTGCTTTACTTTGCCATGTTCAGGTCCTGTAGCATATAGTTTTGTTGCTCCAAAGAGTGCTATCTGATCTGAAATTCCAGACAAGTGTTAATTTCAATAAGTCTGAAATCTGTTTACCATATGCATTTTTGCCATGCTTGTTTGAACCTGTTAATGGATGAATTGGCCGTAGCTCAGTGCTAGACTTTCGTTAAGCATCATGAATGGATTCTTGCCATGTATTTTGTTGTCATATTTGGGTGCTGTAGCATGTTCTTCTTGTTGCATTTAGATGGCTACTTGCTGTAAATCGCAGAACGTGGTCATATTTGAATTGCTTGCCATTTCCAAACCGTAACTCCGATTCCGGTGTTCTTTATATCGTTTTCAAGCGATTTCATCTCATCTTTCCAGGGGCACACTTGGATTTCCAAGTTGAGGCCAGGTTCATGCATTCCTTGTCACATCTTGCATATGCATCCCGCATCGCATCCCGCATAGCATACCATCTTTGCATCATATTGTTTGAGCCTTGCACGTGGTTGGTTGTGTTCCGTTTGCTTGTTTGTCTTGTTTGGGTAGAGCCGGGACACGAGTTCGCTAACGAGGAGCCCGTTGAGTTTGCTTTCGAGGATCCAGTCAACTCTGACAACTTTGCAGGCAAGATGATCATACCCTCGAAATCACTACTATCTTTGTTATGCTAGATGCTCGCTCTTTTGCTATGCCAATGCTACAATGCCTACCACTTGATTTCAAGCCTCCCATATTGCCATGTCAAACCTCTAACCCACCATGTCCTAGCAAACCGTTGTTTGGCTATGTTACCGCTTTGCTCAGCCCCTCTTATAGCGTTGCTAGTTGCAGGTGAAGATTGGAGACCGTTCCTTGTTGGAACATTTATTTACTTGTTGGGATATCATTATATTGCCATGTTATCTTAATGCATCTATATACTTGGTAAAGGGTGGAAGGCTCGGCCTCTCGCCTAGTGTTTTGTTCCACTCTTGCCGCCCTAGTTTCTGTCATATCGGTGTTATGTTCCCGGATTTTGCGTTCCTTACGCGGTTGGGTTATAATGGGAACCCCTTGATAGTTCGCCTTGATTAAAGCTTTTCCAGTAATGCCCAACGTTGGTTTTACCATTTTCCACCTAGCCTCTTTTTCCCTTGGGTTTCCGGAGTCCGAGGGTCATCTTATTTAAACCCCCCCAGGCCAGTGCTCCTCTGAGTGTTGGTCCGAACCAGGCAGCCTGCGGGGCCACCTCGGGGAAATTCGAGGGTTGGTTTTACTCGTAGCTTGACCTATCTGAGTGTGCCCTGAGAACGAGATATGTGCAGCTCCTATCGGGATTTGTCGGCACATTCGGGCGGTGTTGCTGGATTTGTTTTAACCTGTCGAAGTGTCTTGAAGATCCGAGATACCGAGTCTGATCGGAACGTCTCGGGAGAAGGTCTATTCCTTCGTTGACCGTGAGATCTTGTCATGGGCTAAGTTGGGACTCCCCTGCAGGGATTTGAACTTTCGAAAGCCGTGCCCGCGGTTATGGGTAGATGGGAATTTGTTAATGTCCGGTTGTAGATAACTTTAACCTTAACTTAAT